AAGGTTTTTGAGACTAACCTTTACTGAAGCACAGACATTTCACCTGGAAAAACCCTGTTAGTTCCAAACATTACCAACCCCATAAGGTTTTTGAAACTAACCTTTACTGAAGCACAGACATTTCAGTGAACAGATGACTGCTTGGCCACGGAGACATCAAGAATCCTTGAGTCAGAAATATAAGAAATGGGACGTGTGGCTAATTGCCTCCTTGCTTGTCATGCAATCCCCAAACCTGGACGGTTTCCCCACTCATTACTGAATAATTTGGTCAAAGATTCTATATAAGAATATGGATCAAATGGTAGGAAATGCAGAACAGAATTTCAAATTTGACTGAATCCAGACTTGCTGGCGGGGGTGGTGTGGGGGCAGGGGGTATGACAAATGGCTTTATTTTTATATCCCTTTTAGATTAATTGAACCATCAAATATTAATCCAATCTTGGATTCCTGGGATAAACCCATAATGTGCACAACTTTATACATTGCTGAATTCAATTTTGTTAAGGATTTCTGTATCTCAGTTCATGTAGGATTTAAGGTGCTGTCGTTTTCCTTTGTGGTGTGTCTGACCAGATTCAAGTTCATGCTGAATCTGGTTTATGCTGGCCTCATACAAACAAGTTAGAGAGTTCTCATACCTCCATCTTGTGAAAATCTATGTAAGGTTGAAATTATTTGCTTCTTTGTTCCATGTAATTCACTACTGAAATCACCAGGAGTTTGCTGTAGGTGTAACTTTTGATATACAAATTCTCTTTCTTTGATATGACCACAATGACCACATGCCCATGGGGATGATTTTAACGTTCCCCAACCAAAGGATAGTGCTGTCTCTAAAGTGGACCAGGGACATATACAAGCCATAGATGCATGAATGGATTTTCAGTTCACACTTAATCCAAGCCCTAATCCAGAAACAATTAGTTATGACATGGCCCTAACTCAATATTTAGCCTCATGAAGAAATCAGTGATGTAGGTGCTAAAGCAAAGTGTGGTGAAGCAATCAGATGGTGCCCAGCTAAGAGAGAGAACAGTATCTGGGGCCTTAAAGGCTTGTCTTAAAACAAGCAACTGTCTAAGTGAGAAGTCAGCTAAGACCACACAGCAGCAGCAGCACACAGGTCTGTGTGATCCAAGTGTTATAAATAATACAATCCAAGACTGGAGGAGGAAACTGCATTAGACTTTTTTGCACCTAGTTTGAAAAAGGCTATAGATGATGATGAAGACCCAAAATCCATTTGTTGGGTCCCCATATGTATGAAGCCTTCAGAGAATCCCCTCTGACCATTGACCAGGGATGTGAATAGCCTTGGTATCAGAGCTAGCACCGGAAAGTGGACTACCCCAGATGAAGTTACACTACAATTTAAACCCTTACCATCTGTTCCCCCTGTGATCCATTTTAAGTTTGTTCTAGTTTTCATTATTGTCTTTCTTTTGGATTGGGGTTTTTGTTTTGTTACGGTTGTTGGTTTTTTATGTTTTTCTTATATGAAATCCAGAATAGGTAAATCTATAGAGAAAGTAACGAGATGAATAGAGAAAGTAACGAGATTAATAGAGAAAGTAACGAGATTAATAGTTTCTTTGGGTTACATCAGGGGAGGTTGGGGGGAAATGTAAGTAACAAATGTAAGAATGAAGAAAATGTAAAACTGATTATAATTGCACATATCTTTTTAATATGCTTAAACCATTGAATTGTATGATGTGTGATTTCTATTTCAATAAAATTAACATTCTTTAAGAGTTTACATAAATAGCATATCAAAAAGAAATTTGAAATAAAAAGCTAAACCTTAAAAAATATGTATCCCTTCTAGATATACCGGTACCTATAGTTTGTATGGTCTCTTTCCCCATACTTTTACTTTGAAAACATAACTGGGTTTTGATTTTTGTAGTTGCTTTTCTGTTTGTTTGTTTTATGGACTGTTTTAATGCAGTTATCAATAAGATTTTATCTACACTTACCATTTGTTCCATCTGTTATTTTGTTCTTTTCCTAGTTTGGGGGTTAATTGAATATTTAGAATTTCATTTTAATCTGTCTACTCTGGCTTTTAATCTGTATTTCTTGCACTTTTTAAATGGTAGTATGAGTGTCAAGTTTGTGTCAACTGGTTTGGCCAAGACTATCAGTGGTTTAGAAATTAAGGTCTAGAAATCTCCCATGATGTGACACGTAGCCAGTGTACTCAACCCCATAATGAGGTCTGCTGTCAGCAGCCAATCAGCTCTAAATTTAGGTTGGAATGCAACCTCCTTATTCAGGTAACATCTCTGATGAAGTTCCCTTGAGCTGTTTCCATAAGCTGTGAGGAACTTGCTTGCTGCTTGTTGGTCTGGATCCTGCATCTGGCTCACTGACCTCCATCCAGTTCCTTGGAACTTGAGTCAAGAACCCGCCATACTGCCTACCAACCTTGGGCACTATCCTCACCTTAACCACGGTAGCCAGGCACCATGCATCTCTTCTATCCTGTGACAACAGAGGTGGTAGTCATGGGGCCAGTCAGACTTCAGTCCATTCATTCCACTCCTTCTTGGGTCTCCTGTTGCGGCTGCAGGTGAAGAGCCCATTTGTGTTTGGGGTGATCACTCAGAAGCTTGTAAGACCCCAGACACTACTTACCTAACTGGAAGGTAGACTAGACACTTCTACAAAGTCTTGAGGAATTCTGCACTATTTTAAAAGAATATCTAAACCCAACAGAAATGGGAATACATTGACTCTTGACTGCTGTCCCTAGGCTGCCGTTATGTTCCTGTCCTTCGAGCATGGAAAAGAGCCTCCTCACGCCTTCTTTCTGTTTCTACCATCCTTCGCTAAAAACTTTTTCATCCTTTTTTTCTCCCAGAAGTACTAAAATTCTCAAAAGTAATGCAGTGTTTGCATTACTACCTCTCTCCCTTTTTGAAGTGAGAGTAGACCAGAGTTACTTTGTTACTTCCAGCTCTTCATGCCCTTGGGTCTGTTACCATTACCAAAAGGTACAGCACTGTTTGGTGGATAGGAGAGGCTCTGTATCCAGACTAGGGTTCAAATCCTGCTCCTGTCATTCACCCTAAAATACATGTGCCTCTCCTAACTTCAGCCGCCTCCCTTATACGACAGGGAAGTAGCAGCCCCTCCCTCGGGTGACCATTCCCTCCTGAACCTTTCTTCTGGTTTTCTCCTTTGTCACCATCTCCTGTGACCTGTGTGGGGTCGTTTGTCCCTTTCAGTGGTGGTTTCGCTGCTGCTTTGGTTCTGTCTTCAGAGCCACGCTTTCCTTGGGGGATTCCCCTGAAATGCACAGCTCTGGAAGAATCTTTTCCTTCAATGCAGATTCACACCTCACATCCATCTATTCAAATGCTTGTGACTATCATTTGGATTTCTCAAATGCATGTAAAACTAGACTCCACAATCAACTCTCAATTCTATACCCTCAATGTTCCTGTACTCTGATTCAAATCACCTGTTCTTACCTGCAACCTCTGATCAATTTCCCATTTCTGTTTTTAGCTCCTAAATCTCCAACATTACCTTCCTCTCCAACTCTCGATTGACAAGCTTATCAGAACTGTTCAGTAACAGGCAAACCCAACCCACACATGTAAGAGTTGGCTTTCTCAATGGCTCAGGGCACAAATCCCCGCTCTGGCCCATGCTGGCTGCAGGGGTGAGAGTGATGCTTCTGACACGTGGCTTTTCTGAGGTTTCACAATTCAAGGGGCTTCTGGTCAGCTAGGTGCTGCCTCAGTGACAGTATCCAAGCAGGCCCAGTCCGAATGTGAAGAGCCCCGCACAGAGTTGACAGTGGGCCAGCCCACCTTCAGTGGTGGTGAGGAAAGGATGCTGCAAAGGCAGAACGGGGACTGACCTCATCAGTGAATTGCTGGCCTAACATCCCTCAGGCCTGGCTGGACCAAGAAGAACTGGGCCTGGAGCGTCCTCCTCCAGGTTCACACGAGACTCGGTAACAGCCAGGGAAAGCTGTCATAAGTTTTTTAAAGAGTTTTTATTGCGATTTTTAATGTCAACATCTGAAAAACTCTCCCTAAAATGGAGATGATGATCATCTTTAAAATTAGCTATAATGTCTTGGTAGCATCGGTCAGTAGTTACACACTGATTGTCTCAGGTAAAATTCCTCAGCTAAGTTTGGTTTGGTGGTGGGGTGATTTGTAACCCCTGGTGCTGATCCCAGCCCAGTTCTGGTTCCCACTTCTTATCATGCCTACATGATCTGGCTCCCAGGAACAGAAGGGACAGGGACTTCTGGGTCTCAGCTGGGATAATCATCCGGTTAGCCCTCCATTCACACAGTGGTTTTCATCTCCCCACCCCCCTCCCCTCTCTCTTCTTAATAAAAGTGTAGGCTATTAGAGCTGGGGTCTTTACCCAATATTTGTTTGTGTTAGCAGCTAATGTAGCTTAGCCCGGGCTTTGTGTCCCCAGGACTCCAGAGCCGAGGTTTTACCTGCACAAAGGAAGGGGGTCAGTCATCCAGGAGGTAAAAGTCCTTTTGACAGCAAACAGCCCCAGAGCCAGCTGGCTGCCTCTATACAGAACCACCAGCCTCATGCTCAGTCCTAAAGATCTTTGCCAGAGGGGGTTGTTGGGGGGCGCTGCAGGGGCCTCAGCTCTTCCTGAGCCTCACCACCAGGATTCTGCTGGATTCTGTGGTGCAGGGGACGGTGCTGGCCTCCACACTGCCTGTGTCACGTGACCTTTCCTCAGCCAGGACACTCAAGCCAAAGAAAGCCTACTCTGGGGCCTGCTGCCTCCTAGTTGTCCCTGATTGGTTCTGACGCCTCTACTGGAAGAGCAGCGTCAGCTGGCCTTGCTGCCTCGGTGGGCTCTGGCTCCAGAGGAAGAGACGGCGGCTTTGCGAGCTGGGATGTTCCACCAGTGCCTAGTAACAAAACAAAAGCGAGCTTGAATTCTCAGCTCACAGCTCAGAAGAAATCGCTATTCTCACTGCTAAATTTCTAGAGGTGGCCCTATGTTTTCTGGGACTAATATAAGTGTGGTGCATCTGCACAGCCACGAGGGCCGACCGTACCTCAAGCGCCAAGTCATGTCTGCCCTCCGTGAGTCAGTGACAGAAGCCTTCATTGCTCACGCCATGCCAGCATACGCTGAGGCGGTTAAGATACAAGACTGAACTCTGACGATGTATTTCTAAACCGGAAAACTGTAAAGACCCAGTGTATTGTCCCCAACTAAGCCTGACCGCAGCTGTCACCTACTGCACGGCTTGCCTTAAGGCAGTGGTTCTCAACCTGTGGGTCATGACCCCTTTGGAGGGTCAAATGACCCTTTCACAGGGATTGCCTGATTCATAACAGTAGCAAAATTACAGTTATGAAGTAGCAATTAAAATGATTTTATGGCTGGACGTCACCACAACATGAGGAACTGTATTAAAGGGTTGTAGCATTAGGAAGGTTGAGAACCACTGCCTTAAGGGGACAAGAGCCTGTGTGGCCACCCTGCGGCTCTGTTTTCCTGGGGCAATGCCAGAGTAAAGACATCCTGAGCCGGAAAAGTGCAGGCCTCACTCCACGCCAGTTTCTTGGCTGCCACCTGTGGTCTTCAGGGAGCTCTGCATAGCCGCCTACCTGCAGGGAGCTTCCTGTACGCAGCTGCTGACGACATTGCCTGTCCAAGAGCTTGATTCGAGCCCAGGGGCTGCTGGAAAGTGGCCGGCTTGCTGGCTGAAGCGGTCCGGTGCTTCGCTTTGGGGTCTTTGACAGGTTTAGTCCAGACCAGTGCCTCCCCAACCTGGAGAGCTGCTCCCAACTTCTGGGCCATCTCTACCATCTGGGACACAAATGAGAAGAGAAGAGAAGAGAGTCACAGACATGAGTGGGAGGGACAAGCCGACCTGGCTGTTTGTCGGTCTTTCATCAGGGGCTTCAGCTGACGCAGTGACTGCTGGTCCTGGCATGAGTTTTCGGGAGGTACAACTTTGCTTACGTGCTTGGCCACTCACCAAAGGGTGGTGGTTTGAATGCACCAGTCCCTCTGGGGGTGAAAGATAAGGTTGTCTGCTCCCATAAAGATTTAGAGCCTCGGAAACCCTGTGGGGCAGTGTGCACTGCCCTGGAGGGTCGCTATATGCTGGAAATGATTCGACAACTCAGGTGGTTTGGTTTGGACTTTAGTTCTGGCATTTGACAGATGATGTACTTTTTGCAAGGAAATTGTCTTCAACAGCAGAGAACATAGGTTGCCCTGAACAAATGGCAAGAAATGCTTACACAGGATCTCAACACGCCAATTCATGTTTGGTGCCTTCCTAGGCTAATGTCCTGCTTTTGCTACCAGAGGAGAGGGAGGAAGCTATAATGGAGAAACAGATCTCGACTCCGGTGAGCTTTTAATGTCAACGGCAATATCTCAGCCAACAGGAACTTCCTGTTGTTACTGTCAGGCTGTTACTCCCAGGAACGCCCAACCGCCCTGTGTCTAACACCTTACACTGAGATGACCTGGGCTGTCTCGAGTCACCTGGCAGCTTACTTCTGTCTCCTACCTCAGAGTCAAATTCCAGGGAGCTGCTGTGCTTCAGCTGAGTGGCTTTCTTCTCCACTTCCTGGTACTGGGCCAGGGCAGCCCTCTTCTCACCCTGGTTGTACAGCAGCACGGCATAGTTCAGGTTTACCAAAGGGTTACACCTGCGGCAGACGGACCCAAAGAAGCTGGGCTCTGCGACCAATAGAGCTTTCCAGAGCCTCCTCATTCCACAAAAACAAAGCAAAGCTGGGTAAGGAGTGCCCCACCGCCTAGCAAGGTGGGGATGCCCGCACATGGCAGGCCCAAACAGCAGAGCAGCTCTCACCCAGACCACCCAAGGCAGGCCTGAGAAGGGGGCCCCTCATTGCTCTCTGGGGTCCCGTGGTGACACAAACAGTGAACGTGCTCGGTTGTTAACCTAAAGGTTGGGTTGGTTAAGTCCACCCAGAGGAACCTCAAAAGAAAGGTCTGATGATCTACTTCCCAAAACGCACCCACTGAAAGCCTCAGGGAGCAGTTTTAATCCACACACACTCGGGGCCCAGGAGTGGATGGAGCTGACTCAACGGCAACTGGAAGAAAACCCTGCTGCCTGGTAGATGCCAGGAGCTCCACCCCAGAGAAGTCAAGGCTTTTCATATTGAGCAGTCCACGCTGGCTCCGATTTCTCAGGATTAGAAACCTTTCAAAAAAAGCCAGTGTCATTTCCTGCTGAGTCACGGAGTGCTCCAGAGCCCCATCTCCACTCAGGCCACCAAGCAGAGCGCATGGTTCCTTCATCCAGCACCAGTGCTGGGGCGCCACCTTGTGGCTTTGAGGTGTCCAACCCTCCCCAACACCCCTGCCAACAGGGCAGCTTACTTATCCAGGCGGACTGCTTCTATGTAGGCCCTCTTGGCGTTCTCGACATCTTCCAGATTGGTCAGGGCCACTGCAACAGAGAAGAGGCTGGTTTAGAAAACACAGGAAACTTCAAGACCACAGTGTGTTCAGTCTCTCCACCGAACTTCTCCTTCAGCCTGCTGGCAGCTGGCACACCCTTGTCTTGCGCAACAATCCCTTCTCCCAATCTGACCGATGTCAAGTTTTCCGCCTGTGTTCAGACCCAGCTCACTTCGGACTTTCCCGATTGTCCCCACGGGCCATGTCACCACCACCAGTGCTACAGCCTGATTTAACCATGTCACTGTCCTGGTTCCCCATCACCTCCAATGGTGATTTTTAAACTTTTATGTAAAACCAATGTTCCAGAAAGCCTGCTACATGAAACCAATAAAGCAGAGCTGCTCAGGAAACCCTGCGTTCCAACCAGGAACTCCCTTACCACGCACTCGCTTCTCCCAGGAGCTTCCTGGGAAATCTGAGAAAACCAGACTCCAGGAGAAAGTCTGACATCCTCAGGCCAGGCTGCAGTAGGTCTGCCCGGCCTCAAACGACCATCCCTGACTGCTCTCCCACCACAACCTAAGCTGCCACTGCTACTGCTAACTATGGGCACACCCTGCAATTTGATGGCCGCCTGCCTTTGTTCAGAGGCTCATGAACCGGAAACATCCCTCGCAGCATTCAGCCTATCGAATTCCAGCTCATTCTTCAAAAGCCAGTGTGAAGGCCATCTCTGCTCTGTACACATGGCTCATTTGTTTACATTTCCACCCCCCCTTCAGAACAGGCCTTCTGTAGCCCACACCACTACACTCAGTCTGCTCTTGCCAACTTTTCTATATGTAAGACACCACCACTGCCCCACCCCCACAGTAAACCCAAACCCACTGCCATCAAGTAGACTATGCCTCACAGTGACCTTATTGGGGGGTTCTGAGATAGGAGCTCTGGTGGCCTAGTGGTTACACACCAGGCTGTGATCTGAAAGGTCCACAATTCGAAACCACCAGCTGCTCCATGGGGGAAAGATAGGGCTTTCTTCTCCCTGTAAACAGTGAGTCTCAGAAACCCATGGGGTCAGTTCTACCCTGTCCTATAGGGTTTCTGAATTGGCATCAACTTGGTGGCAGTGAATTTGGTTTGGGTTTTTGAGGGTTTCTCAGACTCTAAATCATAGGTTGCCAAACTTATTTGGCCTATTGCCCCCTTTTCTGAAGAATAAAGAAAAATCACTCAGCAGTTCCCTGGTAATTAAAAACTTTTATACTCTGGCCCATCATAAAGAATAAAGTACAGGTATCTGCTTCTGTAGCCCCCTAGATCCTTCCAGCACTCCCACTCTGAGACAGTTAAGGTTATTGTGCCAACCTGATTGATCACCACACGTGGGATTAACTGAAGGCTGGAGAGATAAATGGCTCCATGAGCCTCGCCTTTTTTAGTTCTCAGGTCTCTTGCTCTCTGATCGGACCAGGGTGCAGCTGCCTTAACTAGTTCCCTGCTTCAGCTGGCAAGGCTCACTTTCAGGGAAACATCCCTTAGGAGAAGCTACATGGACCTACCCTGATGCAGCCCTGGGTGCTGGAGCAGCCGTGTGAGATGCTGACATGCTCACTGACTCGGCTTTCCTCCTGCAGAGGGGGTCACTGAGTATGTTTCGTGAGACTGAGGATTCTGTAGATCGGTGTCGGACATAGGGGCTAATGTTGACTTATGGGCTTGGACAGCACTGGGTTGGGATGCTTTCTTTTCTTTTTTTTTTTTTTTTCTTTTTTAACATTTTATTAGGGGCTCATACAACTGTTATCCCAATCCATACACACATCAATTGTGTAAAGCGCATTTGTACATCGTTTCTCAAAACATTTTCTCTCCATTTAAACCCCCGACATTAGGTCCTCATTTTTCCCCTCCCTCCCTGCTCCCCCCTCCCGCATGAGCCCTTGATAGTTTATAAATGGGTATTTTGTCATATCTTGCCCAGTCCGACGTCTCCCTTCATCCACTTTTCGGTTGTCTGTCCCCCAGGGAGGAGGTCACACACAGTTCCATGTAATCGGTTCCCTCTTTCCTACCCATGCTTTCTTAATGTACACTTACCCTTTATATAAAACTCTTATATACATTTGAGTTTCTGTGGATTTGTTTCTCTAGTCTACCCAGACTAACACACACTCTCAGGAGGGTCATTTTGTTGGCTTGACGGGAGCAAACAGCCTCATCTTTCTCCCTCTGACAGGCTGGTGGGGTTGAACTGCCTAACTTGTAGTTAGCAATCCCTAACCCACAGGGCCACCTCTTTAAGAACCCTACAATAGTGACCAAAAAAGAAAATATACAAAGAGCACTACCAATGAGGGCAGAGAAACTGCTGTGGGGCTTACATTTTTTTAAATAAAGGTGTGTGTGTGTTTAAATACCCTAGAAAGAATATTGCCAGTGGTTTTTAATCATATGTTTGATTTTATATACTAAAGTTCATTGGATTCATCTTTATTTTATGATCAGTTTTTTAATTTATATAGAACAAACTGGGTTTCAAGAAAGAAACCATATTCTATACCATTCTGTTTAAAAGAAATGAGTTTGAACATAAGATATCTTGACTTAGACTTATTACCTAAAGACTAATTATATAATAATAGTAACATTAATATTACTAAACCAGTTATATAAAGGTATGTCAGAAAGCATTGCTATAAAATCACAGAAACCTTTATTAAACAGAAATCTTGAAACCTATTTGTCGACATTTCCTCAAACGAGCTCTATGCACTTCTGAAGGCAATGTTTCCATCTCGCGAGCCCTTTCCCAGAGTTCTGCATGCTTTCAGTTACAGCACATCACAAGGCAGCTTCGTCATCCTCAAGGGACATCAAATCATGTGATGTGTTTGGGAACAAAAAGAAGTTTGAAGGCTTCTCAGTGAAACCGTTAGAACAGGGGTCCTCAAACTTTTTAAACAGAAGGCCAGTTCACTGTCCCTCAGACTCGTTGGAGGGCCAGACTATAGTTTTTAAAAACAGAAAACTATGAACAAATTCCTATGCATACTGCACATACCTTATTTCAAAGTAAAAAAACAAATGGGGCAAAAACACCCGGCAGGCTGGATAAATGTCCTCAGGAGGCCGAATGTGGCCCGCGCCGTAGTTTGAGGACCCCTCCCTTAGAGGATGGCCCTTGTTACTCTTGAAGAATGAGCAGGTGCACAAGGGCATGGATTTCTGGGTGCAACTTTCTATTAAAATCTGGGACTTACTTGGGCTCAATGCACATAAACTGCCAAACCAAGAGAGAGAAAAATCAACACGAAACGGTGAACTAGGGATGCTCTTGACTTAAGCTCTCTGCGAGTGAACTGTAAGGGAGTGGCTACCATGGGCTCTCAAGCCTCTGGCCTCCTGTGACGACCACTCACTTCCCTCAGTGCAGACAGGGCAGGGGTTCTGCACACAAGGGTCTCTTACCAGCCAACAGCATGTAGAGCTCCCCCATCTTGGGCTGGAAGCTGATGGCCGCGCTGAGGAAATGGAAAGCTGATGCATACTGCTGCATGGTCAAGTGGACGAGCCCCAGATTGTAGAGAATCTTCCAGTCGAAGGGGGCCAGGTAGTTGGCTCTTTTCAGGCAGCTGATGGCCTACAGGAGTGAGGGGACATGTGATGAGAGTGGGGCCAGCCCGGCAGACCCAGGAGTCACCCACATGACCACACTCAGCGAGGACACGGGAACACTCACTGCCACATATTTCTTCTTGCCAAAGAAACACATCCCAATGTTATTCCAGAGCGGGGGACTCTCTGGCACGGCACAAGCTACGACTCTGTATTTGGTGAGGGCAACATCAAAATCCCCGTGAGTCTGCATCATGCTGCCAGCAGCCAGGGTGGCCTGCAACATGGGACATGGGGGGGGGGGGGGGGGGGTAGTTAGTCATCCACTCCATCCCAGAAGATGGTCGCAGTGAAGTGGCCTTCCTCAGCACAGATGGAACTGCGAAACTCCTCCCAGGGATGCGTGCTCGCATCATGCTATCGGGACAAGTGCACACGAGGAGTATCCCTCTACCCAACGTGGCTCTCTATGGAGCAGCAGAAAGAAAGAAGACAGAATGTCACTGGCCTTAGCCCGCTCATGTGTTCCCTACTTCCAGCCAGGGTAGTCAATATTTTCAAATGCAGCAAGGCTGCCCCCACTAGCAGAATTCCCAGGTCAGAGCTGAGTGTCTGTGCGGTAATGATGCGCATCTTCTTTCTTGACCCCACAGTCACACCTGGACAAGGGTCGCGACCTCAGCTTCTTTAAGCATCTGAAAGCCACTTCACCATCATTAACTTAGACAGGAGATGCAGCGGCTTTGCTAACTGCCCAAGCGACACATTGGTTACCAGCCCTACCACCTCAC